TAGTCACTATTTTTGTTTGTATATTATTGTATCTTATTGATTGGTTTTATCTTTGAATGTATTCTCGTAAGCTTCATGTAATCTTTTTTGTAACATTGCTATGTATTTCATGTGCTTTTACTGTAAACTAAATATAATTCAGCTTCGTGCTGCTATTTTCAGTATTTTTAATAAACCATTCAATAAAAATAGATAAATAAAACACACGTTGTAACATAAATCGAATGAAAATTCCATGAATGATATTTACAGGGAGACCATTGGATTTATTATTTTATGTATCGAATTTGATATTAATTCAGTAAGACATTGTTAATGATATCTTGTTTATCAACAAATTAACAAGATAGTAGGCCCAAACCGCATTGCGATGTGAATACGCCCCTTACGACCGAGTGCGCGACACTAGCCTGTCATCCCTTTCTCAACTTTTGAGGAGCAGTTTTCTATACTCCGTCAAGAAACTTCTGACCCCCCCCCCCCCCCCCCTCAAGTTCATGTCATGTTTCAGTTGAGAGGTTAATCTGGCCGGGCCCAATATCGTGTGTAGATAAGTAGTACATGACAATGATGACATTTAAAATAAATTCTTGAGAAGCTTTTAAAAATCTCGATTTCGAATTTTATCAATAACTCTTACTAAAGTCATCTCATTGTCATCATATCGACACTCCTTTTTCCCTTCTATTGTCCAGATATTATTGAGTAATATCTAAATACTATTAGAGTTAGTATGGTTGGCATGATGATAGCGTATAATGCGTTATGATCAGATAACATTTGTTTATATTCAAGTTGGTCGATCATAGATTTTTCTATGTATTTCATTGTTCATTCATAAATTATCCACGGACAAAACTCTTATTTAAAAGTACTCTGTTACAATCGTCTCACTTCGGATCTCTTGTTCATTCCCTTTCTTAATCCCGTGCAGCACACGCAGAGGAATTTTCAAGTACGGCCATTCGTCAACTCTTCCAGCCTTTCCTGCCGATACTAGGTCTCGATCTACAAGGACACTCCAAAACTACTCGCCAACAACTGCGACGTCATCGTCAACCGCGCCTGGCGCAGCGGTCATAACTCGCCCATGTCCGATCTGGGGGTGTGTCATAAAGCTGTTCGTAACGTTACGCATGACTTTACGAACGACTTGTATATGAAGTGCCAGATAGGATGCCCAAAGTTTTTCCTGATGTTTTAACAAAGTGTGACTATATTTCCAATATCCTCAATTAAATTATGGCAAAAAAATATACTTTGCATTAAAAATGTTTTTAAAAATAAGAATGTTAATCTACATCTGCACAGTTCAACTTTAGTTGATGCAGTTAATAGTGATTGAGCATCCCATTTGGCTTTTCATATTTAAGTCATTCGTAAAGTTATGCGTAACTTTACGAACAGCTTTATGAAACACCCCCAGGTCAGCTTTAACGTCCTTCAGTGCCCCAGTGACCAATACCGCGTGCTCGCCCTTCACAACGAAATCCCGATCAAGCTCGGCACCTGCGGAGAATTCTTCTGCGCATACGACGACGTTGTTTCGCACCTCGAGACATCTTCGAAAGGTTGTCGGTTTGACGTGCTCTGCGGGACGGACGACCTCTACCCGGGCGTCAGCCAATACTCTTACGAAGTTGTCCATTTTAACTCTGATCATTACTCTCCTCGTGTCTTTCTTTGTATTGCAATAAACAAAAATTATTAAGTTTGTAATTATCTTTTTTTGGGGGGGGGGGGTGGTGGGGTAAAACCTGAGGAATAGTTTAAGAGCAAGAGGGGATAATAGAAATGATAACACTGGATTCTAGTATTGCACTAATGCCTTTCATGCTTGACACCCCTGGAAGAGTAACCACTTTCCATGTATAAGAACTTATCGATGAAGGCCTCCAAAATACAAACCCACGTCACTCCCGTTGCGCATGAGGCGTTTTTCGATTGCGCCATTATACCTGCGCTATCTAAGCTTGTGAAGGCAATTCGTCCACACCCCAGTAATTGAACTGTTTCTTCACATTCACCCTTCTTTTTTTTGTATGAGGTCAAAGATCTGGACAGACACTAATGCCCGTTGCACAGTAGGCGCAATTGACGCAAGACTGACTGGCGCGCCCGGCCCCTCCACTCAGTGTTATTTAGGGTACACATAATTATGCATGTTCCCTCCTTTTGAAAACACCCCCTAAGTCCGGTGTGTAAAATCTTTTTTGTGTACTACGGGCCGGGACTTTGGTGCGTGAAAAGTACCCCTTTACCTGACATTTATTTTGGTAACACGCATGGTATCCCTCCGTTCACGGACTGGGGGTGGGGGTGGGGGGGGGGGGCTGGCGCGGTATTTGAGGTGCTATTTGCGAGCGGCATCGTACAAAATAAATTCAAAATGGGAAGTGCACCCACCACTTTGAAATACTGGCGAATAAGCTACTTGCCTTAGTAGGTTTAATTAGCGCATGTGTAATAACGCAATCAAAATAGGCCTTGCGTGCAACTGGCAAGACAAGGTCATCTCATGTGCAACGAGCAATCGAGAATGGACGGGCAAAATGTGGTGAACCGTCGGCTCAAACTGTGTTGGGGCAAAGTTAGGTGAACAGACTGAAACAACATTTCGTGTAAAATACCATTATTCCCTGTATCATGAATTGCCTCTGCAATGAATACTGGACATTAATGGGTTGTGGCGGTCTGACAACCATAAAAGCCCAGCCCACAAATTTAGCTCAACGGGGACAGATTATCAAATCATTTTTTTTAGTGTATAGTTCTTGCTGTAAAAAGTACATTTTTACATCGTAAGCTCAAGCGCTTGACAATTGGTCAAGTTTACGTAATAAAGTTGAATGTTGGGGAAATTGTGCTATTTTTGTTTAAATTCTTCATAACTCTGTAATTTGATATTTCTTGATTATTAACTTTCTCCAAAGTAGTAATGTATCAAAAAAAATTCACTGTATACTCAATATGATGTCACCAAATTATGAACTATAACTCTTTCGTACTCATCTAAAAGAACGCTGTTAATATCATGAATTCTTCTTTTTCCTTTTTACCTACACCTGGATAGAGAGTGGTAAATGTAGATTAATATCTTACCAAAGGACTAATGTCTTAGTGAACGGAACTCGAACCAGGAACCATTTGTCCACAGTCTGGTGATTTGTCCACCACACCACGACATCTCTACACAATAGGGCATTCATCTGTAGGTGCTCAGCAGACTTTCACAGATTTGGCCTCAAACTTGACCACTGATAATTTGGAATTAAAATCAATGTTATTTAAAGTGATATTCACGGATGATATAACTGTGTTTCCTTTGTTCGTCATTTCGTATTTTACCTGCATTTTCTATCTTCTTATTTAAAGATCTTTTACCACATGAACCATTTACCTCTTAAATTTATTATACAGCGTTGATTGGTAAAGCTAATGCTTGTACAATGTAGTATTTATGTATTTCATGATGATTCAAAATGGCATGGGACCAAAGATATTAATTATAATGGCTTTGGTTCATATTAATATGTTTTCTATCGGACCGGACGACCCCCCCCCCCCCCCCCCCCCATGTGGAAAGGAAAGGAGAAAGAGAGAGAGACAGAATTAGAGAAAGAGAATGGCGTTAGAAAGGTAGAGAGAGAAAGAGAGATGGAAAGAGAGGGGTAGAAAGGCAAATGAAGAAGAGAGAGAAATATAGAAAAGAGGGAGCAGACAGAGAGAGAGAGACAGAGTTAGAGACAGACATTGAAAATATAAAGTAGAGACAGATGGGGCCGGGTAAAGTGTGGTAAATGGAAAGAAATAGGTATACAAAGATGGATGAGCATAGACCAAAAACAAAAAGAGGTAGCAAAGAAGAGATTAAAGAGATATTAAAAACGAAGAAAAAATGCCGTGAACTTGCGAAAAATCATTAATACGTCGCATTAGAAATTGCTGGTTCTCTATAGCACTCCCATTATAAAAAAAATATATGAAATTTTCACACACGTGAACGTTTCGATTTTAAAGTACTTTGAGCAGCACAACTTGCTAACTCAATAAGAAATTAATTTTGTAGTTAGTTGGTTAAAACAAGAAGTTAGTACAGCTCTCCTAACTCTATGGTAAAAATGACCACATGTACCCTCAGAGCTTTTAAACATAAGAGTGGTGCTACTGCATGACTTTAAGAAAAATCTGGATTAATACATAACATCCTGTATTCATATCCGTGGGTTTTTACAAAATAATTTGTTACACCAATAGCGACCTCTTGAATACATTATAACGCATAAATACTGATTGTTGCGTAGCTCCAAAACTCCAACATATTGCGCGTAGGCCATTGTTACGTCAAGAGCTCTGCGCACATGATACACACATATGAATATTCATATAACTGCCCTATCCTTGTGCGCGGTTTGTCGAAAGTTTATGTCATGGTGATCGCGCATGCGCATACTGTAGTAAGCTAGCTTCGCATCAACACACGCTCATTCTTGTCTTATCTCTTCGATTGGGAGCTAGCTCATTGCAATTTCGGAGATTTTACGAGAATTTCCACAAATTCTACGCCTGCAAGTGTCTGAGAAATCTAATTCATCAGTATACTAGCGTCTGTCTGTCGGAAACTTTACTATTTGTTCAGGTAAATGATAATCATGATAATTTCAAACATAAAATATGTCAATTTGATTGCATTTTCTGTTAAATTCCTTGCCCAATCATAGTGTGCAGAATGTATACCATTTTTAGTCCTTTACAATGTCAAACACTCGAAGCTAATATTAGACATTCAAACACCCTTATAGCATATTGTATCTTTGAAATATCCAAAATCACGGTAATCATTATAATCTATATTTGATTTCAGAAGTTGGGAACTTCGGTTATCATTCCAGTGAATAACTGAACGAGATTCCTGCTCTGAGCAGGAGATTCAAATACCCAGACTTTGGAACAATCCTTACTCACAGAGACTCACATTTTGAGCTTGTGGATGTACCAAAATGTCTACCATGGAGATTTCAGTTAATCTCACCCAAAAGATCGAGGCTGATACCCCTACTCAAAACGGAGACTGGCAAACCCAGAATGGACTCAACACAGAGACTCTCACTCACGAGCCTGTAGATGAGCAAACTCAGTGTGATAAGGATTCAGCCGTGGTCCACATTCAGCTAGAGGCTGAGCCCCCTACTCAACGCGGAGACTGCCAAACTCAGACTGGGCTCAAAACAGAGACTCTCACTTATGAGCCTGTGGAAGAACAGACTCAGTCTAATACAGTCTCAACAGAGGCTCGCACTCTGAAGACCGAGGCTGAGCCCCCGACTCCACGTGGAGATGAAGAAATTCAGACCCCGGAGAAAGCGTCATTGATTGACGCCCGACCCAGTCCGGAGACACTGAGTTTCAGACTCAAGATCACATGGAAAAGCAGAAGGTACGTTGATTCTGAATTTTGTCTTTTCTGATGTGGCATGAGGAAGAGTGGAGGGCATAGTCAGAGAGAAAGAGAGGGGGCGTGAGAGAGAAGTAAACAAACAAAAACAAACAATTTAACTAACTAACTAACATACACTATGGGAATTGAGTTGGAAGTGTTGAATCTTTATCTTAATGATCGGAATAGGATTTTTTGCCGTTGAGTATTATAACGAGAGTGTATTCAATTGCCATTGCCTGCACACTGAATTCCATGTTAGGACAATTTTATACTTCACAGATCACATTTTTTTTTATAAATCAATAGTTTTATTAACTTATTCATCGACTTTAACAATACCATTACAGCATTCCAATGCCTTGCTGCAAGTAGTCAGCGCAATCAGCGGAGTACCAGCTGATACCTCCCCTGAAGTCCTGGCTATGATTCTTCTTGAACGATGGCAGGAGAAGGAGGCAGAGACCAAGCGCCTCAGAAAATATCTCATAAGCACTGATAAGGAAAAGACCACAGCACAGGCCCAAGTTAAGGTACAATATTCTTAATTAAAATAATCTCAATCAAATTCCCCGTATAGTTTATTTGAATTTTGCATCTTCATGAAATGTAAACTCTTCGTAAACATTTAACCACAAGAAACAGCAATAATGTTCAAAATCATAATGATCTCTTTTCTAGATCAAAATGAAAAGTAGCGATTTGACCACGCCCAAATTAATCGAAACTGCAATGTTTAGAACACATTTTCTACCCCATGTCAATTCTTACTTTCTATGACGTCTAGCATTATATTTAAATCAAATTAATATGACTTTTGCCATTTTTTTTCTCAATATATGACATATTTTTTTTGAATTCCGACTCCTTACCTATCTCTCTCTCCAGAACTTGATCACCGCGGCTTGTTCCATCTCCGAGGCAACTGAGGACTCCACCCCAGAGGATGCGGCTGAGAAGCTCCTCGAGGCACGACAGGTTCTCGACGTTCGGCGTTCCGAGAGCACTGCAAATTGGAGAGAGAGATTTAGAACCATGAAAAACAAAATGGACCTCCAGATCAAGGTAATGAATTATATTTTGTGATGTTTGTAAGATTTTTAAAGCAAAAACAGTATAGCGCTTCTGAACTATAACGGGCTTTTCTTTATTTGCTTTCCTTTTATGGAGATAATATGTTATGGTTTTTTTTTCCATATACAAAATGAATAGTGAAAAGTTTACAAAAGTCTGATATGACATTAACTATCAATGCCAAACATTCAATGGCGTCATTATAATTAGAAACATTTAAATCTTAGTTTAGAACATCTTTCTTTAAACTTTTATATCATCGTTTTTGTTCCGTATTAAAAATGTTAAATTCTCTTCATAATTAAACGTGACCGTAATTAGTATTTAGTTATATTCACATCTAATAATTATTTATCTTTATCAGCCCTCCCCCTCCTCAACCTTCACTGTCCCTTCATTTCTTTCACTGTATCACTGCTGACTATAAACCATAAACTCTTTTTGTCATGGTCTTATTTTAGTCATGTCAGTTCTTATACCTCATCTCTTTCATCTCCTATCTTCTTTATTACATTTTCTTTATCATTTTCAAAATAATCCTGAACATCTTCCTCTCTTTTTCATTCTACTGCAGTTCTTGAGCTATTCTATTATTCGCCATATGCCCCTTCTCTATCCCTCCCTCACCTCTCCATCCCTCCCCCCCCCCCCCTCCCTCTCTCTCTCTCTCTCTCTCTCTCTCTTCTCTATTTCTCTCTCTCTCTCCCTCTCTCTCTCTCTCTCTCTCTCTCCATCTCTCTCTCTCTATTATTTCTCTCCATCTCCCTCATTCCACCGTGTCCACCGTCTTATTTTCATATTCTTCATGTCCTCGTACCTATGCTCTCATTCCCCTCTCTGTCCTTTTCCCCTTTTTCATTTTCCTTCTCCCCATCTCCTTCTCCTCCTCTTCCTCCACCTTTAGACCTTGGCCGATCCAATCAAGCTGATCACAGATAGCATGGATGCTATCCAGTCCCCAAAGGTCCTGGCCCAGAACCTCACACAAGCTTGGGACCAGGTCCAGGCTCAGAATGACGAACTTGAACTAGATTTGATGGTAATTTGATCTCCATTTTTCAATTCAGGTCAATTTTACTCTTGGTAAAAAAAAAAAAAAAAAAAAAAAAAAAAAAATTGCTCTTTGCACATCCGATAAACAGAGAGCAAATAAACCCGAATTAAAAAAATTGTGAAAATGTAGAAAGTCGATAATAATAAAATTAAAAAAACATAATCAAAAAATGATTGCTAAAATTCGTTATGATAGAAATGAGAGTATACCATCGCCATTGAGTTAACTTATCATTAACTGTTTATTGCGAAAGTTTATCCCTTCCTTAAGCAAAATGTTCACTGCCCCACCACCCATTAAAGTGTCCCTATTAGTTATATTGCTCGTTACTTTTCTATTTTAGACGGCCACGGATCGGGTCAAACAACTTGAGATGAAATTGGAAGCTCAAGCACAGGACGCCAAGGTAAATTATATCCACATTTTATTGATAAACATTACAATGAAAACAAATTCTATACTTCAGTGAGTAATGTTATTGGTACATAGCTTTAATAATTTCGCGAACGCATGCCAGCGCTTGCACACTTTGATTTCTCACAAATCTAATAATGAAGACATAAACTAGAAAACTTTTGTGAATTTCGGGAAAGTTCCAGATTCGCGAAAGCTTAATGCCACAAAAAAAAAAAGGATCACAACACAAATCGCGTTAGCATAATACAAACATATAAATTTATTCTTAAAATAAAAATTCACTTTCATAATTAGCAACGGTCATTTTGAAATAACATCATCGGCCTTAATGTTGTCCTTATCAGTGCCTCGCCATCGATGTCGGCGCCTGCCTCGCACCCGATATCAACCACTCTGATGTCGTCGTCGAGCTCAGGTGGTCTTTCGACGACCTCCAGAAGGAGATCGCGGCAAAAGAAGAGCAGATTGAGGTAATAAAACGGAAAAATAATTTGAACATTTAGAAAGTTCAGCAAATTGATTTCTATTAACCAACAGTTGTGTAAATGATGATAAGGTCTACGCCTACAATATAATGATAGAGAATAATATTGTATTATACTACACGTATCATCAAAATAGAACCTGATATCAATGATGACATATATATATATAGATAGTAAATGAGTGAAAGATATATAAGACGAGGGGGACTTGGAAGATAAAGAGATTTAGAAAATGTAGGACACAGCCAATGATGAGAAGAAAGTCGAAGACGACAGAGATGTAAAGGAAAGGGCAGACGTTTAACATTTTAATTGCGTAGACAGTATTTTTTTAAATAATATCAAACATTAAAAATGCAGTCTCGCAAGTCATCTAATTCAATACGAAGTAGAATCCAAAATAAAATGCATTGAGGATAAATATGTAGCAAATGGGCAAGTTTTGACGGATTATTTTGAAACCTTAAAGGATCTTCTGCTCAAGCTGAAGTCTCTGACGTCATCTCTGGATGACCTCCAACCCCTCCTTGCTGCCGAGCCCAAGAAGAAAGGCAAGAAGAGGAGCAAGAAACTGCGCCTGAAATGGTGGAAGAGGGCGCCTGAACAACAAGAGGTATGGGTCAATAATCCCCCCCCCCCCCCGCAGCTGCAGCCCTCAGCAGTCATAATGATAATAACTAACAAATTGGAATACTTTAATATGTATAGCTGAATTAATCTGGTGTGGTAGTTCGATATAAAACATGAAAATTGAATTAGGCAGTTGCCAAAGTTATAAACTTGAATTAGAAACATGGATGTTATTACAAATAAACATTTACTATAAAGAAATAGGCAAATCATCTATGTTGCGTTCTGCTAAACCACAAACTTAGTTAAATTATTTTTTTTAACTATTATAAGCTAATCATGATTTTCTGTACACAGAGTTCAAAGATTAAAGATAATCATTTTTATTGGGAGTTTCTATATATGTTCGGACTGTTCTCTTTTCGGATCGAAATCGTAGAATATCTTTAATACATTGGTCATTTTCTTATCACGTGACAGGAGTCCAACAGTTATCTTGAGAAGTTGCAGGAAGGTCTCATCAAACAGAAGACAACCATGAGGTAAGTTCATTTTGAGTTTTATTTGCCTTGCTTTAGATAAAATATGGGAAATTATTATGTTAGCAAAATCATGTTTATAATAATCATTGTTCAAGATCTTTTCCCATTTCGTTCAATGCAATATTTCTATTTTATATTCCCCCCCCCCCCACCCTTTCCCCTCCCTCTCTCTCTCTCTCTCTCTCTCCTATCCTTCCTCTTCTTCCTTTAATAATTCAGTTATTCCATACTCTTTAACCCAGCCTTTTTAATATTCCCACCTCCCTTAAAACTCTTCATCACACTTTCCCCACAACTTTGTCTACAGTCTTCTCGAGGCCAAGATGACCATACTGGCGGATCAGATAAAGAAGGAGAAAGATTGTCTGGAAAGACAGAAGGCTTTAAGGGCTGAGCTCCAAAACGACGTCAAACTCCTGCAATTTGACAACCAAAAGAAAGAGACCCTAATCCAAAGTCTCCGGGACCTTGTCGAAACGTAAGCCAATATGATAATTATTTTATTTTCTTTCAAAAATCCTCAGGTGCCTAGAATATGATCTGTTCAAACGTCTTGCTAAGCTCTGTTAAATTGTCATTAACAATGTATCAAGTATGACCTCACACCCCGAAAGGTATCTTTCAATAAAAAGCAAATTGCTTCAACTATATACAGACAAGTGTTTCCCATTGAGAAAATCTGCCTTCATTTTTAAGAGAAATTAAAACCTAAATGGTATTCCCGTCATAGCCAAAGTTGGAGATAAATGTCAAAAAGCAAACAAAGAAACAAAACATTTCAAAGAGATCAATATTTATCTTAATGGGACAAGTCATTATTTTTTCATTTTCTCTTGCAATACAGCCTGCAGAAGAACTGCTTGAACAAAAACAGGGGCGCTACTCGGTTCCAAGCGAGAAACGCGGCTAATCATGCAACCGTTGCCTCAATGTCAACCATCAAATGCGAGGTCCTAGATATCAATGACATCCTGCCTTTCTCAGGTAACCAGAAACCAGGTGACCTTAGCAACATGCCTGTCCTCGGCGAAGGCACCTACGGCAAGGTATACCTTGGTCGCCATGGTGATGACCTTCGACCCATCGCCATCAAGCAGCCAGTGTTGCATTCAGGCTACCGCAGGGACATGCTGCAGCAAGAGAAGCTGCTGATGAATGGAAGAGCCACGAAGGAGTCCATGTTGCAGCAATTGCTGTCAGGGTCACCCTACTTCCCCAAGATGATTGGGATGGTTACCATCGGTGATGACCTCTGCACAGTGATGGATTTCATCGGCAACAAGAAGACTGGCAGGACGTACCCTCTCTACCGAGCCCTGACGCGCCGCTTCAAGTCCAACCCAAAGCTCAGCCTGACTAACATGCTTCAGGTCTGTGAGGATATCATCAAAGGCATCATGGAGCTCCATCGGGAAGGATACCTGCATAACGACCTGAAATCAAACAACATCTTGCTGGAGACGCGAGGCCAGCGTTGGCATGCCGTCATCATCGACCTCGGATTGGCCAGTGCAATGGCTCACGCCAAACAGAGGCGATTCTCCGACAAGAGAAGGGCTGAGTACAGATCGGGAAAGATTTACACTTACATGGCCCCTGAAGTTGTCCTGTATGGAAAGCGCAACTCAGTGGCCTCTGACATCTACTCTTTCGGAGTCATCCTCGAGTCCATCGCTAGAAAGATCAAGATCAGCGAGGTGGCGGAAGTGGCGGAGGGCTGCACCGAGCAAGATCCACTCAAGAGGCCGCACAGCATGGAGGAAATCCTCCTCAAGATGGAAGCGATCAGTACTTCCTACTGCTGAAGAGGCTAGGAGACGGGAATGAAGATGGGAGTAGGAGTGGCCGAGGCATCACTCATTGGCCAGGACGTTGGTAACAGATTCTGGATGAATCAAGAATAGTGCGAACACCACAGCTGAAAGGACCATCAAGAGACTGTCTTCCTCTTGCGATCATCATTTAAAGATGTGCCTTCACATAACAACTCATGGGGGTTGTTAGATAGTCTTCCAAACTGAAGCCCCTACTTCATCGGCCAACTATTGGCCAAAGTAAGAAGACCACAGCTGTAGGAATCATCAAGAAAATGTCTTCATCTTGCAATCATCATTTAAAGATGTGCCTTCACAAAACAACTCATTGTGGTTGTTAGATGGTCTTCCATCCCGAAGCTCCCACTTCATCGGCCAACTATTGGCCAAAGTAAGAAGACCACAGCTGTAAGAACCATCAAGAGACGGTCTTCATCTTGCAATCATCATCATTTAAAGATGTGCCTTCACATAACAACTCATCGTGGGTGTTAGATGGTCTTCCATCCCCGAAGCCCCTACTTCATCGGCCAACTATTAGCCACAGTCGAGATAGAAACCTCCATCATCCTCAGTCTCGTGAAATAATTTAACAAAGTGGAAAATACAGAGGCTACCCTCTAAAAGCAAAATCAAGGGGAAGAAGCTGCTCCAAAACTCACTTTAACTATCGTCGCATGGAAATGGTAGTTATAGCCACTATCGAACAAGATTGGTTAAAACGGATGTTGAATTTATTGCCGCCCCATGTTACATTGACTTGGATGGAAATCGTCACTATTGCAATAAAAAGGAAACCACTCAGTATCTTAGATAGAAAGCTAAACGAGAATAGAAAAGGAAGGAAAAAGAAAGAAAGAAAAGGAAATAAACAAATAAATTATTTTAAAAAATTTTTAAAAACAAAGGAAACAAAGGAACAAAGAAAGGAAGAAAACAAAGAATCAAAGAAACACAGAAACAAAGATAAAAGGAAATCTTTCTGATTAAAAGCTCCAGTGTCACTCGTCTTCCATAGTATTCGGAACTTCCTTGAACTGATCACACCGCTCCCTGAAAAGGGTCCTCTACGGTCAAATGGACGACGGGGCACAGGTTCAAGAATGTATTACTGGTATCAGAGGTATTTCTCACAGAATAGTTAATCGAGGATCATATCATCTTATGTAGCTCTGTACTGATTGGAAGAGGAGTGATGAATAAAAAATACGGACCAAATCTTGAACCCGAAGAAGCTTGGCATGACACACGTATCTATAATAAAGTTTGTGAAAGTAAACACAATCCTTTATAATTCAGTGACTTAATAGCCTGTTAATTTTGTTGTCGTTTCCTCAAGGGTAATTTAGTTTAAAAAATATGAAGAAGACATAAGGTGTGAATAAGAATACACAAAAGAAGGGTATTTCGAAGGGAAAAGCAAGAGAGGAAGAGATAGAGCAAAAGATATCAGAGAGAGCTAGATCGTAAGAGGTAGTGTGTATTGTGTGTGCGTGTGCGTGTATTGTGTTTTTACAGATGTGTATCAATATTTACGTCTGGGGGCCGACCATTAAACGTCACCATCCGAAAGACGTGACTCAGTTTCGAACCTGCGTCCTCGGCTGAATCAGTTTGTAACTTCCACCTTTAGCTGGAATACAGGCGCACGCCACAACGCCGAGTACTACTGACATGGTTAGGCTAGCTCTTCCCAATGCTTTAGGAATTTTGGTAAAGAGGCTGTGCATGCAGACTTATCATACCCCCCCCCCCCCCATAAACAACTCCCTTCTTTCTGTTAGCAACGTTCCTTAGTTTAAGCGGACACCAACATGATTGTATCGAATTGTTTTAAACTTCTTGTACATCAATATTCTGTTTATAAACACATACATCAGTTTGCAATGTAATCTAACAAGTCAATATTCTGTTTGTAAACATAATATAAATCAATTTACAATGCAGTGTATATAGCAAAACAGAAAGAAAATGATATAAAGCAGAAACACTCTTTTTTTTCTTCTTGTAATAACATGAAATAATGTATAATGCATAAAGTAAATAAGATAATGTACTATAATACATCCGAAGATTTAGATATATAAAACTTAATATAGCAATTTTCTAAATAAATAATAACTCATGCTATACAAAATAGGTCAATGAGGTAAACGGATTACCTAAAATGAATGAAACTTTTTTCTCCCATTTTCTGTTTTTAACCATTATTATTTTTCCGGCAGACATTTTGAATGGGGTGGGGTCGCGTGGGAGCATTATACTCAATTCCCTCGAGCGATACCCTTCTATCGGTTTATGACTTACTCATACTGTACATTAAAATCCCAGCTGAGACTAAATCTTCTTCAAAGCGCGTTATTTTTAATCCTCTCATTTACTGGACCGGTCTCGGTGCTTGCCATGGTGGTTACGATTGTAGGGTTTGTTCTAATCTGATCTGGGGTTATGGGTATTGTCATCTAGAGATAGCCGCCAACACTGGCGTACTAATGGGGGGCAGTTGACACCCCCCCCCCCCCAATACATATACAAACGTGATTTATTTCTAATTCGAAAGCAGTCATTTACAAATGTTGCTGGAATAGCATGATTTTTACTTGAGCTTCCGGGGGCTCCGGCCCCTGGACCCCAACAAGGCACCTGAATGCTCATCTGACCGTAATTTAATGCCTGGAACCCCTGAGCTTCTGAGGGCTCCGCCCCCTGGACCCCACACAATTTTTGGGTGTTACCCGAAAAACACCCGAAAATTGTGAAAAATGGGAGGGGTAGGGGTTTCGTGGCTCGAGCGGCACACCCGGCCCCACCCCCCCCCCCCCCTCCGGGGTCGGAATGACCGCATGCGTGTTACCAAAATGTCCGGTAAAGGGGTATTTTCCACGCATCAAAGTCCGGCTCGTACATACACAAAATTGACTTTACACACCAGACTTGGGGGTGTTCTCAAAAAGAGGGAACACTCATATGCGTAGCCTAAATAACACTGAGTGGGGGGGGGGGCGGGGCGGCACACTCCCGTCAAAACCAAATTTGAGTAATATGTAGAGGTCAATGGTACAGGGGTGGATCCAGACGGCGGCAGGGGAGGGGGCCAAAGAGGGGGCCCAATACGTAAGAAATATTTAGCGGCGAAACAGCCAGCAGGTGAATAGGCGGGGGGTAAGGAGCACTCATTTTTTAATAAGTAGCTTTCTAACGCTAATATAGTCAAGACTTATCATGTTCTGACGGTTTCGAGAAACAGGCTCCAAAATTACGTAGTGTTATAGTTCAGTGGTCACGACAAGTTTCTTGTCGGGGAAGTTGTCGCTCGTCTAGCTTGGCAAAGACGGTTTTCTGAAACACTTTGACAGTGCAAAGAATGTCTTGATCTTTTAGTTACAACGGTATCATGAAACAACCCCAGTTCTCTCTCACAGGCAGTAATACAAGGCCTTAACAAAAAAGACGTTGTATTCCCTTTAGGTGCCAGAACCTGGGACTGTCGTCCAAATCTCGCTGGTTTCTAGATAGTGCAGTGTATGCATGTTAGAAAGTTAGAGAGAGGAGAGAGAGAGAGAGAGAGAGAGAGAGAAAGAGAGGGAGAGAGAGAAGGAAAGAGAGGAGTAGAAAGGCAAATGGAGAAGAGAGAGAAAATATAGAAAAGAGGGAGCAGACAGAGAGAGAGAGACAGAGTTAGAGACAGACATTGAAAATATGAAGTAGAGACAGATGGGGCCGGGTAAAGTGTGGTAAATGGAAAGAAATAGGTATACAAAGATGAATGAGCATAGACCAAAAACAAAAATAGGTAGCAAAGAAGAGATTAAAGAGATATTAAAAACGAAGAAAAATGCCGTAAACTTGCGCAAAATCATTAACATGTTACGTCACATTAAAAATTGCTGGTTCTCTATAGCACTCCCATTATAAAAAATATATGAAATTTTCACGCACGTGAACGTTTCGATTTTAGGTACTTTGAGCAGCACAACTTGCTAACTCAATAAATTTTGTAGTCAGTTGGTTAAAACAAGGAGTTAGTATACAGCTCTCCTAACTCTATGATAAAAATGACCACATATATCCTCAGTGCTTTTAAACATAAGAGTGGTGCTACTGCATGAATTTAAGAAAAATCTGGATTAATACATAACATCCTGTATTCATATCCGTTGGTTTTACAAAATAATTTGTTACACTAATAGCAACCCCTGTCTTGAATACATTATGACGCATAAATACTGATTGTTACGTAGCTCCAAAACTCCAACATATTGCGCGTATGCCATTGTTACGTCAAGAGCTCTGCGCACATGATACACACATATGGATATTCATATAACTGCCCTACCCTTGTGCGCGGTTGGTCGAAAGTTTATGTCATGGTGATCGCGCATGCGCATACTGTAGTAAGCTAGCTTCGCATCAACAAACGCTCATTCTTGTCTTATCTCTTCGGTTGGGAGCAAGCTCATTGCAATTTCGGAGATTTTACGAGGATTTCCACAAATTCTACGCCTGCAAGTGTCTGAGAAATCTATTTCATCAGTATACTAGCGTCTGTTTGTCGGAAACTTTACTATTTGTTCAGGTAAACGATAATCATGATAATTTCAATCATGAAATATGTTTAATATGAATACATTTTTTGTTGAATTCCTTGCACAATCAAAGTCTGCAGATTGTATATCCGTTTTAGTCATTTACAATGTCAAACACTCGAAGCTAATGTTAGACATTCAAACATCCTTATAGCATATTGTATCTTTAAAATTTCCAAAATCACGGAAGACCAAATCTAATAATCTATATTTGATTTCAGAAGTTGGGAACTTCGTTATCATTCCGGTGAATAACTGAACGACATTCCTGCTCTGAGCAGGAGATTCAAATACCCAGACTGTGGAACAATCCTTACTCACAGAGACTCACATTTTTGAGCTTGTGGATGTACCAAAATGTCTACCATGGAGATTTCAGTTAATCTCACTCAAAAGATCGAGGCTGATACCCCTACTCAAAACGGAGACTGGCAAACCCAGAATGGACTCAACACAGAGACTCTCACTCACGAGCCTGTAGATGAGCAAACTCAGTGTGATACGGATTTAGCCGTGGTCCACATTCAGCTCGAGGCTGAGCCCCCTACTCAACGCGGAGACTGCCAAACTCAGACTGGGCTCAAAACAGAGACTCTCACTTATGAGCCTGTGGAAGAACAGACTCAGTCTGATACAGTCTCAACAGAAGCTCACACTCAGAAGATCGAGGCTGAGCCCCCTACTCCACGTGGAGATGAAGAAATTCAGACCCCGGAGAAAGCGTCATTGATTGACTCCCCGACCCAGTCCGGAGACACTGAGTTTCAAACTCAAGATCACATGGAAAAGCAGAAGGTACGTTGATTCTGAATTTTGTCTTTTCTGATGTGGCATGAGGAAGAGTGGAGGGCATAGTCAGAGAGAAAGAGATGGGGCGTGAGAGAGAAGTAAACAAACTAAAAACAAACAATTTCACTAACTAACTAACATACACTATGGCAAATGAATTGGAAGTGTTGAATCTTTATCTTAATGATCAGAATAGGAAAAAATTTGCCGTTGAGTATTATAACGAGAGTGTATTCAATTGGCATTGCCTGCACACTGAATTCCATGTTAGGACAATTTTATACTTCACAGATCACATTTTTTTGTAATAAATCAATAGTTTTATTAACTTATTCATCGACTTTAACGATATCATTACAGCATTCCAATACCTTGCTAAAAGTAGTTAGCGCAATCAGCGGAGTATCAACTGATAACTCCTCAGAAGTCCTGGCTATGATTCTTCTGGAACGCTGGCAGGAGAAGGAGGCAGAGACCCAGCGCCTTAGAGAAGAACTCATAAGGACTGATGAGGAGAAGACCACTGCACAGGCCCAAGTTAAGGTATTCTTGTTTAAGATAATCTCAATCAAATTCCCAAAAATGTATAATTTAATTCTTTGAACTTTAAATCTTCATGAAATGTAAATACTTCGTAAGCATTACAGCCACAAGGAGGAAGCAGCAATCAAACGATAAAAACTAACAAAAGTATTTGACCACGCCCAGAGTAACCGAAACTGCAATGTCTAATACACATGTTCTATCCCATTTCCCTTTTTTTTTTTTTACTTTGTATGACTTCTAGCATTATATTTATAAAAAATTAATATGACTTTTGCCATTTTTTCTCAATAAAATCCCTTTTCAGTTTTCATAAATGGGTCTTCAGTTTTCATTTTTTAACACATCTCTCTCTTCAGAACTTGATCACCGCGGCTTGTTCCATCTCTGAGGCAACGGAGGACTCCACCCCGGAAGATGCGGCTGAGAAGCTCCTCGAGGCCCGACAGGTTCTCGACGGTCGGCGTTCCGAGAGCACTGCAGCTTGGAGAGAAAGATTTAGAACCATGAAAACAAAATGGACCTCCAGATCAAGGTAATAAATTAGTTTTTGTGTGTGATATTTGTAAGATTTGTAAGCAAAAAAAGGATAGTGCATCTGAATTATAACGGGGTTTTAAAAATTTGTTTCTATATTTTTGCTTTCCTTTTATGGAAGCAATATTTTTGGGTTTTTTTAATATAAAAAATGATTAGTGAAAAGTTTACGAAAGTCTGATATGACATATTACTATGCCAAATATTCAGTGGCGTCCTTATAATTATAAACGTTTTCAACTTAGTTTACAACATCTTTCTTTAAACTTTTATATTATCCTCGTAATTGTTCCATTTTTTAAATTTTAAACTGCCTTCATAATTAAACGCGACCGTAATTAGTATTTAGTTATATTCACATCTAATAATAATTTTTATTATGAAATTTATCAGCCCCCCCCCCTCAACAATCACCGCTCCTTCATTTCTTTCACTGTATCTCTGCTGACCATAAACCATAAGCTCTTTTTGGCATGGTCTTCTTGTAGTCATTTCAGTTCATATACCTCATCTCTGTCATCTCCTATCTTCTTTATTACATTTTCTTTATCATTTTTCAAAATTATCCTGAACATCTTCCTCTCTTTTTCATTCTACTGCAGTTCTTGAGCTATTCTATTATTCGCCATATGCCCCTTCTCTATCCCTCCCTCACCTCTCCATCCCTCCCCCCCCCCCCTCTCTCTCTCTCTCTCTCTCTCTCTCTCTCTTTCTCTATTTCTCTCTCTCTCTCCCTCTCTCTCTCTCTCTCTCTCTCTCCATCTCTCTCTCTCTATTATTTCTCTCCATCTCCCTCATTCCACCGTGTCCACCGTCTTATTTTCATATTCTTCATGTCCTCGTACCTATGTTCTCATTCCCCTCTCTGTCCTTCTCCCCCTTTTCCCTCTCCCTCTCCTCCTCCCGTCTCCTCCTCCTCTTCCTCCATCTTTAGACCTTGGCCGATCCAATCAAGCTGATCACAGAGAGCATGGATGCTATCCAGTCCCCAAAGGTCCTGGCCCAGAACCTCAGACAAGCTTGGGACCAGGTCCAGGCTCAGAATGACGAACTTGAACTAAATTTGATGGTAAGGCTATGTCAATTTTTAATTCAGGTCAATTTTACTCTTTGCACATCCGATAAACAGAGAACAAATAAACCTGAATTACAAAAATAGTGAAAATGTAAAGAAACTCGATAATAAAAAGCATTATACCAAATTGCAATCGCCAACACAACAATTTGTTAGTGAAATTCATTCAAATGTCAGCTTAAGTCTATTTGCCTGTTTAATGAAAGAAACAAAAATCATAATAAAACAATAATTGCACGAGCCGTCTCTAAAATTATTAGTGATTAATTTGAGAGTGTACAATCGCCATTGAGTTTACTTATCATTAATTTTTTATTGCGCAAGCTTATCCCTTCATCAGCAAAACGTTCACTGCTCCACCCATCAAAGTGTCCCTAATAGTTATATTGCTCGTTACTTATCTATTTCAGACGGCCACCGATCGGGTCAAACAACTTGAGTTGAGATTGGAAGCTCAAGCACAGGACGTCAAGGTAAATTAGATCAACATTGTATTGACAAACATTTGAATGAAAACAAACTTCAGTGAATAATGTTATTAATATAAAGCTTCAATAATTCCGCGAACACATGCCAGTGCTTAAACATTTTAATTTCTCACAAATCTAATAATGAAGACATAAACTAGAAAGCTTTTGTGAATTTCGGGAAGGTTCCAGATTCGCGAAAGCTTAATGCCACGAAAAAAAGATCACAACACTAATCGCGTTAGCATAATACAAACATATAAATTTATTCTTAAAATATAAATTAACTTTCATAATTAGCAACGGTCATTTTGAAATAGTATCATCGGCCTTAATGTTGTCCTTATCAGTGCCTCGCCACCGATGTCGGCGTCTGCCTCGCACCCGATATCAACCACTCTGATGTCGTCGTCGAGCTCAGGTGTTCTTTCGACGACCTCCAGAAGGAGATCGCGGCAAAAGAAGAGCAGATCGAGGTAATAAAACGGAAAAATAATTTAAACATTAAGAAAGTTGAGCAAACTTATTTCTATTAACCAACAGTTGTTTGAATGCTGATATTAAAGGTCTACGCCTACAATATGATGATAGAGAATAATATTGTATTATACTACACATATTATCAAAATATAACCTGATATCAATGATGACATAGATAGTATAAGTGGAAGATATATAAGACGAGGGGGACTTGGAAGATAAAAAGAATTTAGGAAACAACCAATGGTGAGAAGAAAGTCGAAGACGACAGAGATGTAAAGGAAAGGGCAGACGTTTACAATTTTAATTGCGTAGACAGTATTTTTTTTAATAATATCAAACATTAAACATGCAGTCTCGCAAGTCATCTAATTCAATACGAAGTAGAATCCAAAATAAAATGCATTGAGGATAAATATGTAGCAAATGGGCAAGTTTTGACGGATTATTTTGAAACATTAAAGGATCTTCTGCTCAAGCTGAAGGCTCTGACGTCATCCCTGGATGACCTCCAACCCCTCCTTGCTGCCGAGCCCAAGAGGAAAGAGAAGAAGAGGAGCAAGAAACTGCGCCTGAAATGGTGGAAGAGGGCGCCTGAACAACAAGAGGTATGGGTCAATAATCCCCCCTCCCCCCCCCCCCCCCCCCCTCCCCGCCGCTGCAGTCCTCAGCAGTCATAATGATAATAACTAACAAATTGGAGTACTTTAATATGTATAGCTGAATTAATCTGGTGTCAGTTCGATATAAAACATGAAAATTGAATTAGGCAGTTGCCAAAGTTATAAACTTGAATTAGAAACATGAATGTTATTACAAATAAACATTTACTATTTTTTTTAACTATTATAAGCTAATCATGATTTTCTGTACACAGAGTTCAAAGATTAAAGATAATCATTTTATTGGGAGTTTCTATATATGTTCGGGATGTTCTCTTTTCGGATCGAAATGGTAGAATATCTTTAATACATTGGTCATTTTCTTATCACGTGACAGGAGTCCAACAGTTATCTTGAGAAGTTGAAGGAAGGTCTCATCAAACAGAAGACAACCATGAGGTAAGTTCATTTTGAGTTTTATTTGCCTTGCTTTAGATAAAATATGGGGAATTATTATGTTAGCAAAATCATGTTTATAATAATCATTGTTCAAGATCTTTTCCCATTTCGTTCAATGCAATATTTCTATTTTATATGCCCCCTCCCTCTCTCTCTCTCTCTCTCTCCTATCCTTCCTCTTCTTCCTTTAATAATTCAGTTATTCCATACTCTTTAACCCGGCCTTTTTCATATTCCCATCTCCCTTAAAACTCTTCATCACACTTTCCCCACAACTTTGTCTACAGTCTTCTCGAGGCCAAGATGACCATACTGGCGGATCAGATGAAGAAGGAGAAAGATTGTCTGGAAAGACAGAAGGCTTCCAGGGCTGAGCTCCAAAACGACGTCAAACTCCTGCAATTTGACAACCAAAAGAAAGAGACCCTAATCCAAAGTCTCCGGGACCTTGTCGAAACGTAAGCCAATACGATAATTACTTTATTTTCTTTTAAAAATCCTCAGGTGCCTAGAATAAGATCTGTTCAAACGTCTTGCTAAGCTCTGTTAAATTGTCATTAAAAATGTATCAGGTATGACCTCACACCCGAAAGGTATCTTTCAATAAAAAGCAAATTGCTTCAAGTATATATAGGCAAGTGTTTCCCATTGAAAAAATATGCCTTCATTTTTAAGAGAAATTACAACCTGATTGGTATTCCCGTCATAGCCAAAGTTGAAGATAAATGTCAAAAAGCAAACAAAGAAACAAAACATTTCAAAGAGATTAATATTCATCTTAATTGGAAAAGTCATTATTTTTTTCATTTTCTCTTGCAATACAGCCTGCAGAAGAACTGCTTGAACAAAAACAGGGGCGCTACTCGGTTCCAAGCGAGAAACGCGGGTGATCATGCGACCATTGCCTCAATGCCAACCATCAAATGCGAGGTCCTAGATATCAATGACATCCTGCCTTTCTCAGGTAACCAGAAACCAGGTGACCTTAGCAACATGCCTGTCCTCGGCAAAGGCACCTACGGCAAAGTGTACCTTGGTCGCCATGGTGATGACCTTCGACCCATCGCCATCAAGCAGCCAATGTTGCACTCAGACTACCGCAGGGACATGCTGCAGCAAGAGAAGCTGCTGATGAATGAAAGAGCCGCGAAGGAGTCCATGGTGCAGCAATTGCTGTCAGGGTCACCCTACTTCCCCAAGATGATTGGGATGGTTACCATCGGTGATGACCTCTGCACAGTGATGGATTTCATCGGCAACAAGAAGACTGGCAGGACGTACCCTCTCTACCGAGCCCTGACGCGCCGCTTCAAGTCCAACCCAAAGCTTAGCCTGATTAACATGCTTCAGGTCTGTGAGGATATCATCAAAGGCATCATGGAGCTCCATCGGGAAGGATACCTGCATAATGACCTGAAATCAAACAACATCTTGCTGGAGACGCGAGGCCTGCGGTGGCACGCCATCATCATCGACCTCGGATTGGCCAGTGCAATGGCTTACGCCAAACAGAGGCGATTCTCCGACAAGAGAAGGGCTGAGTACAGATCGAGACAAATTTACACTCACATGGCCCCTGAAGTTGTCCTGTTTGGAAAGCGCAACTCAGTGGCCTCTGACATCTACTCTTTCGGAGTCATCCTTGAGTCCATCGCTAAGAAGATCAAGATCAGTGAGGTGGCGGAATTGGCGGAGGACTGCACCGAGCAAGATCCACTCAAGAGGCCGCACAGCATGCAGGAAATCCTCCTCCAGATGGAAGCGATCAGTGCTTCCTACTCCTGAAGAGGCTAGGGGACGGGGATGGGGATGGAAGTAGGAGTGGCCGAGGCATCACTCATTGGCCAGGACGTTGGTAACATATTCTGGATGGATCAAGAATAGCGCAAACACCACAGGTGTTTGGACCATCAAGAGACTGTCTTCATCTTGCGATCTTGCGATTACATAACAACTCATCGTGGTTGTTAGATGGTCTTCCATCCCAGAAGCCCCTACTTCATCGGCCAACTATTGGCCACAGTAAGAAGACCACAGCTGTAAGAACCATCAAGAGACTGTCTTCATCTTGCAATCATCATAAAGATGTGCCTTCACATAACAACTCATCGTGGTTGTTAGATGGTCTTCCATCCCCGAAGCCCCTACTTCATCAGCCAACTATTGGCCACAGTCGAGACAGAAACCTCCATCATCCTCAGTCTCGTAAAATAATTAAACAAAGTGGAAAATACAGAGGCTACCCTCTAAAAGCAAAATCAAGGGGAAGAAGCTGCTCCAACACTCACTTTAACTATCGTCGCATGGAAATGGTAGTTATAGCCACTATCGAACAAGATTGGTGAAAACGGAAGTTGAATTTATTGCCGCCCCATGTTACATTGACTTGGATGGAAATCGTCACTATTGCAATAAAAAAGGAAACCAATCAGCATCTTAGTCAGAAAGCTAAACGAGACTAGAAAAGGAAGGAAAGAAAGGAAAAAGAAAGAAAAGGAAATAAACAAAGAAATAAAAAAGAATTTAAAAAAATAATAAAGGAAACAAAGGAACAAAGAAAGGAAGAAAAAAAAGAATCAAAGAAACACAGAAACAAAGATAAAAGGAAATCTTTCTGATTAAAAGCAATTATTCTCCAGCGTCACTCGTCTTCCATAGTATTCGGAACTTCCTTGTACTGATCACACCGCTCTCTGAAAAGCGTCCTCTACGGTCAAATGGACGACGGGGCACAGGCACTGGTATCAGAGGTATATGACATTTCTCACAGAATAGTTAATCGAGGATACTTACGTAGCTCTATACTGATTGAAAGAGGAGTGATGAATCAAAAATACGGACCAAATCTTGAACCCGAAGAAGCTTAACATGACGCACGTATCTATAATAAAGTTTGAGAAAGTAAACACAATCCTTTATAATTCGGTGACTTAATAGCCTCTTAATTTTGTTGTCGTTTCCTCAAGGAAAATTTAGTTTAAAAAATATGAAGAAGACATAAGGTGTGAAGAAGAATACACAAAAGAAGGGTATTTCGAAGGGAAAAGCAAGAGAGGAAGAGATAGAGAAAAAAATATAAGAGAGAGAGAGCTAGATCGTAAGAGGTAGCAGTGGTGTACGCAGGATTTTTTCAAGGGGGGGGGGGGGTTAAAATCGGGTCAAAAATTTCGCAACTACTCAGCCAGCCGCTGAATAAGCGGGGGTTGGGGAGGGGGGGGGGGTAAGAGGACATTTTTTTTTTGGGGGGGGGCAGGTCCCGAAATTTGACATTTTGACCCATCGACATTCCGTTCCGTTGGGGGGGGGGGGGGGTTAAAGAAAGGTTTTTTTCCCCCCAAATACATACACAAAACATATTACACATAAAAAAAACTAGAGGGGTGGGGGGGTTAACCCCAAACCCAAACATAGAATGCCTAAAATAAATGAAATCTTTTTCTCGCATTATTTTTTATCCATTTTTTTTTTCCGACAGAAATTTTGAATGGGGTGGGGTCGCGTGGGAACATTATACTCAATTCCCTCGAGCGATACCCTTCTATCGGTTTATGACTTACCTGGGACTCAAACATTAAAATCCCAGCTGAGACTAAATCTTCTTCAAAGCGCGTTATTTTTAATCCTCTCATTTACTAGACCGGTCTCGGTGCTTGCTGTGGCTTACTATTGTAGAGTTTGTTCTAATCTGATCCGGGGTTATGGGAATTGTCATCTTGAGATGACAGCTCTGATCACTACGATTTTACTTTTTCGTTTATATCAGATGAGGACAACGTGGCGTAGCTGTTGGGGAGGGGACACGGGGATGCGTTCCTCCATGTTGATAATGATGATGAGCATGATCATATTATGATGATCAATGAAGAAATCCTTCATAGTCTTTACATAATTAATGATTTGCCATAATTCGTGTTCAAATTTTAAATCTCTGTCATAATATAGGATCTAGGTATAAGGGGATTTTCCTTCCATACATGAAAACATGTATCTGGGTACTTTGTCACATAATGAGATCGACATATCAAGAATCATAAATTCCTCAATGCACCACTTTACGCTTCAATTTTCACATTAAGTATGAAGAATATGGAATGGGTAAACCACTGAACATCCAGCTTTTGCACTCACGGATTATTTCTTGTAGTCCAACTACATGATTACAATCCTGTACTCCTAAATCACTCATGTTCTCTCTCTCTCTCTCTCTCTCTCTCTCTCCTCATTTGCATCTCAGTTCCTTTAGCCCCCCCCCCCCCCCTCCTCTCATTTTCTCTCACTAGCTGTAGTTGAGCAGCCGTTATGTAAAGTTACACCCGTCTCAGTGGCTAATTCTTTTTTGATAAAGGCCAACTGTCTATAGTGGTCACCTATACAAGTCATACGGTCACCTTCTATAGGAAGGAACATGCTGTCGAGGCCCAGTAAAGGACAGGATACTCTTGAGAAAAAAAATTTTGACCACTCAAAGAACGAATCAGGTGGAAAAAGTGGATTGAAATTTTTTTTTAAAGAAAATCGTGAAATAATGATTTTAATTAGATTTCAATACATTGACCACCATGCAGTCGGTATAATGCAATACAAAAAGATAATAAAATGTAAGACATATGAAATGACCAACTTACATATACCAATGCGCCAGTAGAGAAATAAAACGGTTCAAGGACAAATATTACCATCTGGACACCCCCCCCCCAGGACAAAGCCCCCGATAGCTCCTATTACCCCCTGGACACTCATCCCCTTTAATAGGACAATTACTCCCCGGAAAATTACCGCCTATGGCAATTACCCCCCCCCCCCCCCCCCCCCCCCCCCGATTTTTTTTTTTCTCGCTGCATGGACTAACTTAAAAGTGCCTGGAGATGGCGTACTATATATAAAGATATGACAGGTTAGGAGCACTTGGGCCCGCTTCTCGAAACCAACAAGACGGGGTCTATTCGCTATTCATAAGGACCGCTATTCATAAGGTCCGCTATTCATAAGGACCGCTATTCATAACGCGTAAATTCCCGTACTTCCGGGTCCGCTATTCATAATGGCAAAAGAGGGTCACTATTCATAATGAAATAAGGTTCGTTAATCATAAGGACCGCTATTCATAACGTGATATGAGGGTCGCTATTCATAATTCATATTAAGGGTCATTAATCATAAGGACCGCTATTCATAATATGAAATCAGGGTCGCTATTCATAATACGACGAGAGGGTCGCTATTCATAATACGAAATAAGGTTCATTACTTATAAGGGTCGCTATTCATAATACGGGAAGAGGGTCGCTATTCATAATAGGAAATGAGGGTCGCTATTCATAATAGGAGAAGAGGATCGCTATTCATAATAGGAGAAGAGGGTCGCTATTCATAATAGGAGAAGAGGGTCGCTATTCATAATAGGAAATGAGGGTCGCTATTCATAATAGGAGAAGAGGGTCGCTATTCATAATACGAAATGAGGTTCGCTATTCATAATAGGAGAAGAGGGTCGCTATTCATAATAGGAGAAGAGGGTCGCTATTCATAATAGGAAATGAGGGTCGCTATTCATAATAGAAGAAGAGGGTCGCTATTCATAATAGGAGAAGAGGGTCGCTATTCATAATAGGAGAAGAGGGTCGCTATTCATAATAGGAAAAGAGGGTCGCTATTCATAAAAGGAGAAGAGGGTCGCTATTCATAATAGGAAATGAGGGTCGCTAATCATAATAGAAGAAGAGGGTCGCTATTCATAATAGGAGAAGAGGGTCGCTATTCATAATATGAAATGAGGGTCGCTATTCATAATAGGAGTAAGGGGTCGCTATTCATATCATATATTCATTTCCCTTCAAATCCTCTTCTTTCTCTAATAATTTAATGAAACATCAAAGCTTCCACGGGAGGGGGGAAACTGAATTCAGACAATTATTAAGAGTCGAGAACGGTACAACAAATCGTCTTCTTTTTCTAATAATTAATGAAAGTTCAAAGCTTTCGCGCGTAATGGGTGGGGGAGGGGAGGGGGGGGACAGCAAGCTGCCCGAATATGAATTTTTGATATCTTTTCTCGTTTATCTTGGTGATAAATAACACTTTCACAAAAAACATATAATGCTCAAATTTTTGCTCGCTCGTTTCGCTCACAAGCAGAATTGTGAACTAGAAAATATCGGGCAAGAGGCTTTTGCCCCCCCCCCCCCTCCCAGATGAAAATGTCAAAAAAATGTATATCTTAAAAACGGGGAATGTTGATATCGGACAAGAGACGTGAAGTGAGCTTGCACCCCTTTCCAAAATTGTTCCTGCTTCTAGATACCCGTATCGTGCTTCTAATATGACCTTGTCAGTATTGGTATGTTGAGTTGAAAAAACGGTCTGCGCATTTTTCAAATTTCCGTCCCCCCCCCCCCAATTGGAAAATTCTGGATCCGCGCCGGGGCGTACTGATGGGGGGGCTCGGGGGATCGGTAGATACTGGGCTTAGGTCCAATTGTCAGGTCCAATTCCGCTCAGTAATTTGTAGGTCCATAAGTCCTAATAAAAATTACTTTCTACAAAAACATTATTGTCGTATAAACAATTACTAGTTTCTTAAATAGCAAGCTAAAATGGATAATGGGCCTGCTTGGCGTACTTAATATCTCAGTGGCGTAGCCTGGATAAGATCAGTCGGGGGCAGGGTGATGGGGCAAGATTTCCAACAAGGAGGAAAATTTACGATAGGATTACATGTGTGTTATGTTTTACTTTTTTTTCGTCACCACATGAGCGGGGGTTGGCTCTATATAATTATCAAAGAT